CCTCACATTATATCCCCACATAGACTCACACTGCCACCACCACATGGGCAGCAACAACCCTGCCTCACACACACACACAACCACTAAAGCCTAAAGGATTTCCTCCTCGGGCGTTCGCGGGTCCCGGCGGGCTCACAGCGGGCTCACAGCGGGCTCACAGCGGGCTCACAGCGGGATGTTGGCGTGTTTCTTCCACGGGTTCTCTCTGGTCTTGCTGGCCAGAGTCTCAAGGTCGCGGATGATTCGCATACGGGTCGTTCTTGGTTCGATGATGTCATCCACGTAGCCTGGACGGAACCAGTAATAATTTATTGGTAAAAGTTAACGAGAGTACCCCCCTCTTTTTTTTCTGAACTTATCCGACCTGGTAATAACGACGAAATGACAAAACTAGATCTATGTTTTTAATGTCAGTTCATTAAATTTTCTTTTCTCAGTAATCACAGGTCAGCTTTTGGGTAGAATAAAATGGTACCCAATTACCTGCAGTGACTCTCACTTTCTTTGTTTCAGAAGGAGTTTTACGTCACTTGCAACAACCCAATAAGGCCACATAAAAACTGAAGATAAGAGGTGTTACATGATAGTATCTAACACAAAAAAGGAGAAGAGATAAGAACGATAGATATTTCATAGGATAGGATGACAAACCACATTGGAGCAAATGTCAACCGCCCACCACTTTAATAAGAGTTTACGGAACTTACGACGCTGCAAGGTCCCATAAATGCTGAAGATCAGAGGTGACACAAGAAAGTAACTAATACAAAAAAAGGAGAAACAAGAATGACAGATGTTTGACAGGAAAGGAGGAGAGATAAGGACAATAAAATAAATGTTCGATTGGAAAGAAGGAGGACAGACAGGGACAATAGATGTTTGATAGGAAAGAAGGAGAGATAAAGAAGATAGATTTTGTTGATACGAAAGAAGGAGAAGAGATAAGGACGATAGATGTTTGATAGGAAAGAAGGAGAAGAGATAAGGACGATAGATGTTTGATAGGAAAGAAGGAGGAGAGGTAAGGACAATGGATGTTTGATAGGAAAGAAGGAGGAACAAACCACAGCACAGCACCCGCCAACCACCCATCCACTCACTCACCTCTGTCGGCGGCGGGGAACGGGTTCGCGAACTTCTCGATGTACTCTGCCTCCTCCGATGCGGGATTAGCGCTGCCTCGGAAGATGATGGACACGGCACCCTATGTTCATTTATAGTAAGAGTTTTATGGCAATTGCAATACAATAAGGTCATATAAATGCCGAAGATTAGAGAGGTGTTACAAGAGAGTGACAAACACAAAAAAGAAGAAGAGGAGATAAAGACGATAGATGTTTGATAGGAAAGAAGAAGCAAACCACACCAGAACACCCGTCAACCACCCATGCACCCTGTGTGTCTGTGTGTGTGTGTGTGTGTG